GAAAGCCTAAAAATTAGTTGGAGTTTTAAAGGATTTCTAAGTTGATAGTTACTAAGAGAAAACAAAAGCTAGGTTAGTCTTGCTCTTTGGCAAATTTTGATTGATCAACCAAGATTTTATCCATACTTCGACCTTGACAAAATAACTTATCAATAATATTTTATCACTTAGATAAAATTTGTTAGCTCTACCTCCTACGACATCTTCCCTTATCACTTCCTACATAATCTCTTCTAACAATTTTATTCAAAAACTCATTAGTATTTTCAATTAAAAATAAATATATTTTACATAAAACTTTATTGAATTTCTAGAACATTTATTAAACTGCTTCTCTATTTTTCACAATGATTCTATAACATTTCACAAGTATTCCAACATATTCTTCAAACATATCATATGACTTATTTCTCAAATACATTGTGTAATACTTTATTAAAAAAAAAATCAAAACCAAATACAAAATTTGATTTAGGGCTCGTTTGGGGCAGCTTATAAGCGCGGGCGGCGTTTTCAAAATGCCGTCTCGCCATTTGGAAAACACGTTTTAGCAGCTCATACAAAAACATGGTTGGGTTTTACACTAAACGCGGTCCACAGGTCGAACCCCGCGGGCCACCCACGGGCCGCGTTTCAAGATAAATTGTTTATCTAGATCACACCCTTAACAATCAACGCCAAAGAAATCCAAAACTCTATGTATTCATACAACTCAAATTTCTAAGAACAAACTAGCAAATTTAAGATAAAATGGTAGCTAACATAAGGCATGAGGAAAATTATGTGAGGTATGCAACCATATTTGAATAAGTAAATAGCATGGATTAAAGTAATATCCAAAACACAATAGCATTCAAACTTAGGAAGACAATTCAACAAATATAGTTAAATTTTCTTCTGAATCCTCAGAGTAAAGGCTTGCAATGATAAAAGAACCTTCTTCAACCTCTCCTTTATTTCAAGATCAATGAGATTTCCTTCATCATCAAACTTCCTTGGAGGTTGGAATGCCTGAACAAATAGTTCAGGGTTGTTGATGAAATGAAGATCGAGGAAAACCCCGACCTGGCGCAGATGATATTGAGATCTTCCACCTCCGAAGCCTCCTCCAGCACTGACAATGGCTGCCGGCTTGTCGGCCCAGACATTTGGGTGCCGAGACGCCCAGTCAATTGCATTCTTAAGAGGGGCTGCAGGTAAAAACAATGAAACTGACGTTTTTTATTTTTTTTCTGGGTTTAGATTAGAACATGAATATCAATTTCTATGAGGGAAAAAAATGCAAGATGCTAACTCTTAGAAGTGAAACTGAACTTCCACCACACATTAAAGAGACCGGCATTCATAAAAGGGTTAAATAATCCATAATATACTAGAGACTCTGATCATAATCCTTGAGGTGAGATTCTAGTCTTTCTCTAAAAATGAAGCTGAGTATCCTTGTTGAATAGAGTAAATTAGAGATGAGGTGTTCAAGGTTCATAATCCCTATGATGAGGTTCCAGGTTTCCTCTAAATTTATGGTCGATTGTTCTCATTTAGCAAATTAGATCTGATGAGAACTGCCCGTGGTTCATAACCTCTATGAAGGTTCAACCTTTTTTTTTTCAATTGGTTGATTATCCTTATTGAAAAAGATTAGATCTTGAGAGAAGGGTTGATGGGATGATATGTCATCAACAAGGTCATGCGGAGGAGAAAATTTTACGTCCGGACACAACACGTACGGACGGCCAGCCATCGGGCGCCACGTCGCCATCACATCGGCGTCGGGCAACGTGGCGTCCGGCGGTTGGCTGTCTGGACGTAATATGTTTAGCAATCAGAGACATAGATGAAGAAGCTTCCTCCAAGAAAACCATAGCTTTGTTAATAACCTGATGTGTTGTAATTGTGATCAGTTTTTGTTAATCTCTGCTAATTTATCTTCTTTTTTTGTAATTTTTTTACAACATATTTTTGGTGTATTATCTTTCAAATGTGAATATTTCTCTCAAAAAAATTTCAACCCAAAAATTTATCAGTGTTTTGGAAGAATTTTTTTTTCAAAGTTAATTTAGTTGAAATTATAACATTCAAGCTTTAATAAATTTTTGTGATAAAAAATAACAATAACAAAGCCTTAATCCCACTATGTGGGGTCGGCTACATGAATCCTTTTGTGATAAAAAAACGTATTAAAAAAATTTAAAATGTTTTGTGAATTCTTTTAATATCATGAGTTATATCCATAACTTTTTTAAAATCAAAATATTGTTGTTTACTAGGATAGAAATTTCAAAAATGACTTCTTAGAATCTGCCTCTTACTAATTGTAGACTGAAATTTTTTTGACTTAACGCACATTTGTTGAAATCGGTTGTTTTCTTTAGTTGTTTCTCTCAATGTGAAGATCCTTCCTATGAAAAAATTTAAAATTTTCTAAAAATTTTTTAAAATGGTTGTTAATTAGAGATTCTTGCAATGCATTATCACAGTAAAAAAATCCCTTAAAGGGTTAAATGAGTTACTTTTCCAATATTTATTGTGTTATTAGAAAGAAAACACTTCGATCTAAGTATTCACATAAAATATGATTTTTATTTTAATTAAATTTGGATCCATAATCAAATCAACAAAATGACACTACCCCACCCTTGCAAAATTACTCGAGGTGAAGAGAGAGGAATACCCTAAATGAGGTGAAAAGCTGCCACAAAATTTTGTATTCCATCGAACCTACTTGGGCTACAAATCTTATAGAAAAAAATATAAGATAAAGGAAGCAAAAAAAAATGAAGATGGTCAACATAAATTTGTTCTTCTTCATCAATAACGCCTAGATATCACCTCAAAAAAAGTCCAGCTTTTCCAACAACACAATGACTTATGTAGAAAACTAATTGTTGGTTGGAAAGGTGATTGGTGAGGGAGAGGATGATCAGTGATTCTCTAAATTTGGGAATTTTATTAACAATATCATACTTTGAAAAAGAAAATGTGTTGTTCCCTAACCTATAAGATGATTTTTTAGATTTTGTAATAATAATTAATTGAATCTCAACTAATTTATAGTAATGATGTTAATAAATCTTGACCCTCGGCGCTTGTATAATAGTGATTAGTATCTTTGAGTACTTCCCTCATTAAGAGGACTAAGACCACAAGATATATTTAAGATTAACATGAAGGCCCCGTTTGGGGCAGCTTATTTGGTGCATTTACATTTTGAAAATGCAACTGAGGTATTTGTTTCGTGCGTTTGCTCTACTTATCTGAATAAGACATTCAGGTTTTCTTAATAAACCTAGTCGCGAGCTCGACCCCGTGGCCCATCGTTCTTATCCTCGCTTATTACCTGCATGCACTTCGTTCCTCGCTTGACCCCCGTTCTACACTAGAAGACTCCCCTCGCCTCTCTCTCTCGGATGCTCCTATCTCGCGATTAGCGGTGCCTTTCACCTATTCCTCCTCCCTCCGACCTGGTTACCATGCTCTGTAAGTAATTTTCGATAGAATGTCCTTCTATATGCAATTTGTGGCGTTTTTTCGATGGAATGGTATTTTGTATGCGGTTTTCCAATGGAATGGCTTTCTTTATGAGTTTTTTTTTTTATTTTTGGATGTAATTTGGAGAACGGGAGAAAGTGCGCTTGATTTGATGATAGCAAGGTTTCAGATACCCATTTGCAGAGGGTGCTTATTCGTAGATAGCAAATTTTCTGGTGCCTTATATGTCATAGCCTCAAATAAAAAATATTGGATAAGATTTTCTCAATTCTTTTGATGTTCGTCTGACAATTTGAAATTTAGATGTAAAAGAGTGCTTGGTTTTTTCATAGCATTATTTTGGGTGGTCTTTTTGCATTTGCATCTATTCAATACTACACTATTTTTTCTTTTATGTTTTGGCTATAAATTGAAAAACGAGTGAAAGAGGATGCTTCATTTGTAGATGGCAATGTTTTGGGCGGCCTGTATGTAATTGCATTGAATTAAAAATGAGGGGAGATGCTTCATTTAGCTGTGGTCTGTGGGTTGTGGGCTGTGGGTTGTGATTGGGTGTCGTGAGTTGTGACTGTGGGTGTGTGTGTGGATGTGGGTATGTGTGTGGTGGTTGTGGGTGTGTGTGTTGTGTGGGGTTATGGTTGGCTGCTGTGTGTTGTGGCTGTGGGTGTGTGTGTGGTTGTGCGTGATGTGGTTTGTGATTCGGTGTTGTGTGTTGTGATTGTGGGTATGCGTATGGTGGTTGTGGGTGTGTGTTGTGTTGGGTTGTGGTTGCGTGCTCTATCTGTTGTAGTTGTGGGTATGTGTGTGGTTGCGTGTGGTGTGGGTTGTGGTTAGGTGTTGTGTGATGTGACTGTGAGTGTGTATGGTGGTTGTAGGTGTGTGTATGTGGTGTGAGTATTTATTTGCCTCAAATGAAATACGGAAACGGTTGTGGTTGAGGTTATGGTTTATTGAGATGTCCTGAATGTAATGTTTTAAATGAAATATGGAAAAGGGTTGGGGTTCATCATGGTTGTGGTTGTGGGCATTCTGAAGATTTTTGGCCCAAAAGCTTCATCTCGTTTAGAGCATTTGCAATAATTTTTCATTATGAACCTCTTGAGGGTCTTTTGGAGTAGCTCTTTTGGTGGTTGTGGGTGTTGGGTGGTGGATGTGCTGGAGGTGGGGTGGTGGATGTGCTGGAGATTGGTGATGGATGTGGTGGGGGCGGGGTGTTAATTAGACAATTCTTTTTTATTTAATAAAGTTCATGTTTATTTTATGTTTCATATATTATTGATATTTTAGATATTATAAGTTTTATACTATTTGTAATTGTTTTTTCTCCCTTCCTGATTGTTTCTCTTTCTTTTTTTTTTTTTGTGGGTTTGTGAAGTTTATGATAATATGTTCTACCTTGTGGGTTCTTCTGAAAGACTTGTTAGTCACTGTTACATGGTGTCGCATGTGAAATCCTGATAAAAACAACAAAGTTCCTCTTTTCATTTAGATAATTGGGTTTTTGAGGTACTTCTGGATGGTTTGTTAGTCTTTGTTGGTTAGTGTTACATGCGAAATCCTAATAAAGATAACAAAATTTCTCTTTTCTTTTTGATGCTAAGGTTTTTGAGGTATTTCCAGATCGTCTTTTTTTGTTGATATGCATATGCGACAAACTCGAGCTTGGTATTAAGTGAGCTAAAGGCAACCAAGAACCCCTATTTTATAAGGTCTGTTGTACTTTAGTTGTGACAGGTTCGGTGGGGTTGGTGTACTTAGTTCTCTAAGACTTCATGCCCGCACAAAAATATAATTGACTACTATTTTTTTTAAATTTATACTTGTGTTATAGCTAATGAATTGTCTTTTGAATCATTAAGGGAAGAAAAACTCTAGGATTTCAGAGACCTCCCGACGATTGTTTTGACACTGTGGACTTCAAACTTCTCTACTAACGGCATGTCAAGCGCATAGCTACGAGAGACAGCTTTACAGGTGTCTGCGGAGAATCACGAAGAAATGTAACTTCTTCCGGTCGGCAGCGAGTCTGACAGATTCCACTACAGACAATGATCGGGAATGAATGGTATCCTTGGAAGACCACATAGCTCGTGACATACATTGTCTGCATTTTAAAATAATGTTATAATATTTTAAATATAATTTTAATAGTTTGTTTAGTAATTTTGATACTCGTTGTTTAATGAGGTTTATGTCTTATTCTTTGTACTATTCTAAAGTAGTTGTTTCTTCTCAAATATCAAATATATTGTTAAAACAGTTCTGTTGCAAACAACATTGTTGCATATAGGCAGAATGGTCATTTATCTAGAAACAACTGTAAAACAATTGTTTTTCAGTAGCACAAACCAAACAATTAACCAACTTATCCGGATCAACTGCTGCTCAGAAGCTTATCTGCGTCAGCTGCCTATCAACAGCTTATTAAGAACCTACAATTGCCCCAAATAGCCAGAAACCTCAAGGTTTTAATGTCGTGACAAAATTTTAGGTTGTTGCAATAAATTTTTTATAAGAATGATAGCAAAATGTATTGTACCCTAGCAAATAGAATGGATTTTAATTCTTTGAAAGATGGTTAGTCTCTAATTTCTTTGTATTGTATTTTGATGAGAGCAATGTGATAATATGAATCTTAAAAAGTAACTTGTGCAACACTATATGCTTCTAAAATTTTAAATTATCTTATCCTTCTAATTAT